AATTATTGGTATAGAAGCTGTAATTTGAATTAAAAGACGTTTATATCATCTTTTGTACAGAAGTCTTTTAACAGAAGATCAGCATAATGTATAAAACATTTATTGAGAACATGAAATAGACATAAATTGGGAGGAGCTCTATTCCAAGTTTGACTTGCTGTCAGTAAACGCCTGCTTATATAGCGTCTAACAATTAGGGGAGATGGACAGGAGTGATAATCATATATGGTATTGTTTATTATCAAATTATGGTGTCTATAATTACAATGCATATTTCTTTGGAAGTCGTTGTCAGGTCAAGGTATGATGCACTGACCACTAATACATTCTCTTTGAACTTCTGTCTAGAGAGTTTAAACGTCAACTTCAGGTATAGATCACTTTGCCACAGTCTTCCCCCACCCCAACCCCCTCTCTGTGTACTTCACTTAAGTCCTTGGATAATCAATCCAGTGGCTGACCAAGGACATCATCAAATATTAGCATATCGCTGGCCACCAACTCCCAAAGATGACATACTGTGTGCCGGAGGCTTCAACAATCTGTCATCACATATAGTTCTATTGATAACCGATGTGCAAACAGTATTTATCGACCAATACACGTACATATCATGCTGGGTGGCTGTAGGTTTCAACAATGCGTCATCAAATATCGTCCTTCTGATAACCGATGTACAGTGTTTATCAACCACTACACGTATATTACACGCTGGGTGCTAAAGGCGTGTCATCAAATAGACTTTGCCTTATAAACCGATGTTTACACACATAGAGTTTATCAACCAATACACGTACATTACACGCTAGGTGTTAATGGTTTGTCATCAAATAAACTTTGCCTTATAACCGATGTACACACATAGTTTGACAACCCACTATATGGCTATTTCACGCTGTGTGCTTTCAATTTCACAGTGTACTGTGACTAATTCTATCAGGGATTTAGTTATGGTGATTATTAAATGCCAAGGGAATATTATACGGAACCAGTTCATTAGTAGTTAATCCAATATCCACACGTCTAGAGCCGATTGATTCGACCGGACACCAGAATATGGATTTTAAAAAAAACAATGTTATAAATGAAGTGTCACAGAAATCAGGCTTTTATTTTATATAAGGATATTGTTAATAAAGTATTACTAGAATCATTGCAACATTTCCTTCGTCCGTCAGGGCTAGCGTCCACATGTGAAGCCTACACTTGGGTATGCGCGTAAAAGAAACATGAATAGTTTAAAATAATGGAAGGGAGTTGGTTGAATCGCCGCTGACCGGTCACAGTTAGAAATAAAAACCATTAACATATGTCTGTCTTCTATCGACACGGGTATTATGTTGAAACATCAAACCCCATTCTCCAGTCTTTCACAGCCCAGACGGTGCAGTGAAAAAGGACGTTAAAGGCTCAATACCACTCTTGTTGGAACTGAATAATATGTCCCAATCTTTATTCTGGTCAACAAATTGTACAACTAATTGATGATACAAATTTCATCTTAACACACCTAATTTAAAAAATTGGAAAAATTCAACTAAATAATTTGAAAAGCCTAACGTAAACCTTTTCAAATGTGACATGGATTTAAAAATATTTCCGAACCCTCTGGACAAGTAAAATAGGATGTAATGGATAATGTACACAACAGGTAGGGCACTAACACAATCTAGTACTTAGAATAAGGCTATTATTTATTTTCTGTAGCTGTTAAGCCAGCAAGAGTATTATTGTCCCTTTAAACTTCATCTCATTACAATCTCCTGTTTTCCACAACCCAGTTAGTTCACAAAGTAGGACGTTAAAGCCAGTAATTAGTGCCGAAAAGTAGGACGTTAAACCCTATTCCAGACTCCCGTCTTCCATAGCCCAGTCGGTGCAGAAAAGTAGGATGTTGAACCTCATTCCATTCCGCCGTCTTCCATAGCCCAGTCGGTGCAGAAAAGTAGGACGTTGAACCCTATTCAATACTCCCGTTTTCAACAGCCCAGTCAGTGCAGAAAAGTAAGAGAGAGAGAGAAATGGGGTTTAACGTCCACTCGACACAAATTAGGTCATTTCGGGACTAACATGTGGTTTTTTAAAATTTATTTCAATAATTTGCTTGCGCGTAGGGGTCTTTAGCAGTGGGAGGAAACTGGAGAAAAGTAGGACGTTAAACCCTATTCCATACTCCCGTCTTCCATAGCCCACTCTGTGCAGAAAAGTAGGACGTTTAACCCTATTCCATTCTAGGTTGTAGCCTATGTGTCTGATGAAAACTGCCAATAACTTGGTATGTGTCAATTCAAATCTTGTTATTGATCAGTCAGACATGTTTTTTTAATTGACATGGTCATCCAGTCCTTTATATCCAATCAAACAGGATGATGATCCAGTCCTTTATAGCTCATCAAACACAATAGGTGTCCATAACTATATATTATTAATAAAGTTTAACATCATATCAAATCCGACAATCAATGCGCAAATGTCCAAGGAATAAGCATGCCAAATTTCATTTCGATCGTCCTTGTCTTCCGCTTTGTCCGAAGAGCGTCCTCCATCCACCAAAAAACAAGAGGATGAGGAATGATCGCTGAGCAGTTTTTGATACAAGAGTAATTTATCGACCACTCATATATAAACACCGAATTTTAACACAGACGCCTTACAATAACGCAAGAGGCCAAGTTAGTTATTCGCTTGTCAGTTTTCTAGAAAGATGAAAGCTTATAGACCGACATCATCATACATAAACTTGACATCAACTACTTTGAAAATTGGGAAAACGAATAGAATGGTAAATTGCTTATTCGCGTGTGAGTTTTAAAGCGGCAACATGTCGATGTCAGCCATTATAATTTGTCAGCATAAATCACAGTAATTGTTGAATATGCATATTAATTTATAAAATACAACTGTTTAAACTCCGGTATATAAGCAATATCCTTTATTTATTTATCTTAATGTAAACACCATCCTTCATTTATCCATCTTAATGTAAACAACATCCCATTTTTATCCATCTTAATGTAAACAATATCCATTATTTATCCATCTTAATGTAAACAACATCCCATTTTTATCCATCTTAATGTAAACAATATCCATTATTTATCCATCTTAATGTTAACAATATCCATTATTTATCTTAATGTAAACAATATTCATTATTTATTTATCTTAATCTAAACAATATCCTTTATTTATCCATCTTAATGTAAACAATATTCTTTATTTGTCCATCTTACTGTAAACAATATTCTTTATTTATCCATCTCAATGTAAACAATATCCTTTATTTATCCATCTTAATGTAAACAACATCCCATTTTTAACCATCTTAATGTAAACAACATCCCATTTTTATCCATCTTAATGTAAAAAATATCCTTTATTTATCCATCTTAATGTAAACAATATCCTTTATTTATCCACCTTAATGTAAAAAATATCCTTTATTTTGTTAGCCTACCAGTTTAAGAATGAGAGTTTTCAAACATTGAATTTTAGAAATGTGCAGGATTGCAATATTCAATAAGCTTGTAATATGTTAACTCCAAGTAAACACTGAGCATGATTGTATTTTAATTGCTATTTTATAATGATATTGTCAGATAATTATACAGAGGTTTTTAAGATGGTAGATGACCATAATATAGCATGTTTTAACTATTATAAAGGTTGGGGTGGGGGTGTAATATAAGATTGTAGATGATCATAATATAGCTTGTTTTAACTCTATATAAAGGTTGGTGGTGGCGTGTAAGTTAGGACTGTAGATGGCCCTAATATAGTATGTTTTAACTTCAGATTGGACGTGGGTGGTTTTTATAAATCAATAAGAATATGGCTACTTTAAAGACAGATCAAAGCCTGTGTTCCGTTATACATAAATAAGACATCAAAATCTGATACATCATCAACTGAGATGATTGAGTTCAGAAGAATTGGGCTCCAGTCAGATAAAAAAAATATGCAAAAACATTTAATCTTTAAAGGTTTATTCATGTGCCAGAAATTCCAGTCTTCTGAATGCTTCGAAAGATACGGCATGATTTCAATTTTTTTAAATGGCTCCCAGTAATGCCAGCTAAAATGGCAGCGTTTATTGCTGGATTTTCTAGTGAATTCGACCTTGACATATGTGTATATATGTATAACTGTCCTAAACACAACCGGGACCACAGTAGCTTAGTGGGTAAGGCGCTGTCTCACTGACCATTACTACACAAAGGCAAGAAATTCACCAGACGAGACGTGAGATGGACAACTTTACCATGGTCAAATCCTTTGCATCCAACGGAGATAAAACAACTAAACGGGGTAGAGCTGACGACCAAATTTATAAAACGACCATCCCCAAATCGTTGACTTAAAAAGATTTTAAATCTGATTATTGAGAAAGACAACATTTGTTTTTTTACAAATACAGTGGACTCTGTCATTTCCGCCATCTGAATACTATGGCATCCTGTGAAATCCGTCATCGTTATAATAATACTTTCGGTATTCGAAGGTACAATACTACTTCCGAAATAATACCCCCAGTATAATACTTCCGGTATAATACTTCCGGTATAATGCTGTGTAATCCGACATATCGTAAAGCTTCCCCGTACGATGTCGTGATTGAGTTCACTGTATACTTATATTATATTTTTCTTTTGTATATTGATTTTAGAGAAATGATACAGTATGGGTGACGACATGTGGACAATGGTCGTTTAGAACTTAGAAAGAGGGTTTATCCTAGATAAGTCTCATGGTTGAGTGGACAGGTGTGTGTGTAAGAGTGGAAAGCTTTGCGTGAATGAGTGGACATCTTTGTGTGGATGAGAGTACATCTTTTTGTGGATGAGAAGACAACATTGTGTGGATGAGAGGACATCTTTACGTGGAGGATGATATATGACAGACCATCTGAACAAATATGTGCTCAGTAAACTTTTATAACATCACACCACCAAACACACGCGATAAATACTAAAAACATTAAGCTATAAATAAAAACCTACCTTGGTGAAATCGCCAAAGATAAACCCTTGCTCTAACCCGACAAACAGAACCAGCGGAATCAACAGTAAACACTTGGGATCACGAAACATGTTCAAGGTGGAGATCAAGATCTCCGTGGATGTCAGATCAAATTCAGGATCGGCTTCCGTTTTACCTATCTTAGTCTTGTCCAGCAGCACCACTAATATCACTGTGCCCATGATGCCACATCCGAGATAGATACTCAACAGCATGTATTTAGTCGTTTCTGGGATGATGATGTCAAACGACGTGAAACCATTGTTGTAAGTTCCATCCACATCCGAATTATAATCACAATTTGTAGCACCACAATGTCGCGAGAAACTAATGTTTTCATACATGTCAACAACACTTTCTGTGCTGTTTGTCCGTAAGATCAGCGCCGAGATTAAGTTCCCCCAGATTTGACTACTTCGATAAAATCCGCAAAATATTCCCATGAATTTGTTGATGACGGGTTCGGATTCGTCTATTTGCATGTGTTTGGCATACGTTACAGCTAACGTTGTAATGTAAGTAGCTTGGGCACTCCACAGAGGTCCTGCAAGAAGTCCTAATCCCACTCCGATAGGAATAAGGACGTAATGTGTCGGATGAAAATTAGCTCCGACATACCCAGTAAATAGCACAAACGCAATGACCATTGTCCATTTGGTGGTCAGTTTGTTTATCAACCAGGGCGCGATCAGACACGAGAACACTGTGCTGCCGTATATACAACTCAGTGACACTAAACCCAAACCATCCGGATGCAAGGTGCTCTGGAGACTCTGTAGGGAGACAAAGGCTGTGAACATGAACATAAAAGCAACGCTAACGACCAGCGTGTTCTTGATGGCCTTAGTCTCTGTCATATTCTTCACAGCCGTCAACGTTCGAACATCGTCCGGAAGTGTGTGATAATTCACCAGATTGTACGAGTGCATCGTACTCCGTCTACGATTCTTACGGATATCACCCCAATCCGGTGAACCGGCATAATCCGGACTGGGGTGAAGGAGTAAGTGATCCTTTGAAGGTGTATCGTGTCCGCTCGTCATCGTGATCAAATTGTGACGAACCAAAACCTTAATTTAAATATTCACACTCTTGGCGCGATCCACTAGATGAAGGTCATTTGTGTAGATTAAAACATCGTCCATCTCTTCTGTCAGATTCTAGAACAATAGCGTCATCTTTACCTGTAATAAAAACATGAAATTATCAAATAAAGCTTCGTCTCTTCATCTTATAGTCATCACCTGCATTTCTGGTAGTTTAGGGATGTGTTTATGCCCCCGTCAGACCGGGGTGGCGTCCTTACTGCATTGCTGCGAACGTATGGCGACCAGAAAATGCACAAGGTCACCGGAAAAAGTAAACACAACGCGAGAAAATGTTCCAAAAGTTACAAACTTGAAAAGGTCGAGTTCTCACAGCTTTCCAGGCCAGATCGCATAACCTTTGTGTTTGCTTTGAACATGCTCAAAACAAACTTCATGAGTCGACGATCATTAGCGACCATGGAGACCATAGCACGATATCTGGCGTTTACACCACGCTTTTACCACGAACATGGCGATGTAGACGCGCTCTGGGACCATTTTCCGTTGCCGTAACAGCGCAGTAAGGATGTCACTCAGGTCTGACGGGAGTATAACATAGCATTTCAAATGTAATTTTAATCAACAAAAATGCATTTTAAATTTGCAAATATAAGCCACACCGTTGAATCGCCTTCCTTAAGTGAACATAACAACTTCCTCTGCAACCTGGGGGGACAATTCAGGACAATCATATATAGTAAATTATCAAAAGAAATGAAATGAATTTATTTAACATTTTATCCAATAAAGACGGGCATACTCCATGCAGCGTGTAACGGGGGGAATATACGGCGTACTTTTATTTCCTTTGGGGGTTGAGTGGCCGAATGGTTAACGCGTGCGCGTTGTATCATAAGGTCTGTCATTGGGTCAAGTGGCGCGGTTTCTTCCCCGCTTGTACGTAAAAAGGAGTAGGGTCGCCTGTCTAACCTCGTAGGTTTTCTCCGGTTTCCTTCCACTGCTAGAGTCCATTTGTTAGTCCTGAAATCTCTCTATCTCTCTATCTATCTGTCCCCTCTCTCTCTCTCTCTCTCTCTCTCTGATGTATTTATATTTCTGTCAGGGAACATTTGATGTTTGTTTGTCGTTCCATCAACTGATCAATCCTACACCACTGTCAATCCTACACCACTAGAAAAGCCCGACGTAATGTCCGGTCAAAACCATTATTGAGCCAGAGACCACCTATTTATTGACACAGTGTAATACGCACAGATCCGCCGCGGCAACTATGAAATATTGGTGAAATATTAACAAATATTAGATATTGTTTTTTAAGGGATTCACGGTGGTACAACGATGATGCTGTTGTCTCAGAAACCAGTGGGTCTCGCTCGATTCATGGTATTCGATTACTAAAGATGACAGCAATTGTTGAAAGTACGACTCACAGTTCCAACACCTTTAGATCACTCTCTATGACCATATCTAATCTAGTTTATTGTTTATAACACCTGTATCAATTAAATGCTTACTCAATGTCCATGACTACACACACAGGGTTTGCTTGTTTATCCAGTCAGTAATAAAAATTGTTAAAATTCCTAAGCGAACAGACATCACTAAATTAATCCCATGATTCACGTTTCCGGATTCTGTTAGAAAAATCTATCTGGTTTTTACGCCATCGATTTAACAGTTCCATACAATTTTAATTATATCTGGCCATCGAGCTAGTATTCCAATTTATATTTCTGTCAGTTCTTTTTACGATCAACTTGAATAACGACGATTAACAATTCGGTAGAATTCGGCATCGATTTGTAACCAGTCAGCCAAATGACGTGGAACTGATATAAAAAAACCAGTCAATACCAGCACGCCAATAAATGCTACATTTTGTGTATATCGTCGGCGGCAAGCTGATCGTTCATTCAAGCCCATTCATGAATCTGGAGATTTTACGCGATCGTGTGAAATTTTATATCGTGTAACAGATTGGTCAATCTTCATTACGAGTTTTATGGTTGGCTTATCAGTGGGAAGAGTCTATTTAATTCCAGGGTGGTAGTAGAGGTGGGTAAGATCCCATCAGGTTCAGGTCGCGTGGGTAACAACCCATCAGGTTCAGGACGCAGGGGTAAGAACCCATCAGGTTCAGCCGCGTGGGTAAGATCACATCAGGTTCAGGCCGCGTGGGTAAGAACCCTTTAGGTTCATGACGCAGGGGTAAGAACCCATTAGGATCAAGTCTCGTAGATAAGAACCCATTAAATTAGGATGCAGGGGTAAGAACCTATTATGATCAAGTCTCGTGGGTAAGATCCCATTAGGTTCACGCCGCGGGAGTAGGTAACCATAAACGTATCCTAGAATTTAGGATAGATGAAGGTTTCTTACAGATATAACTTCGCCAACTCTAAACGTATGCAAGAATTTAGGATAGATTAATGTTCCTTACGTATATAACTTCCCTAACCGGAGTGGCCCCCAACCCTCATCCCCACCCCCAACCAACCCGATCTCCCCCACCCTCTCCCGAACTACCCTCATCTCCTCGCCAAGGATCTGATCTAATCCCCAACGGCCTTGATTCCCCCCTCCTTCTCTTAATCCACCTGAACCCCATCTCAAACCGATTCTCCCCAACTGACCCGATCCCCGACCTAATACCACCATGACCCCACCATCCCTAACCGCGTTGATTTACCCCTCAACCGACCTTATGCCCCTCCTGTACGGATCTGATCTCCTTCCCAACGACCTAATCTACCTCAACCGCAATAGTCTCTCGCTCCGATTTCCCCCCTCAACCCACCAGATCCGGAACCAATCTGAGCCCCTTCCCAATCGACCCAATGTACCTCAACCGCACTAGTCTCGATCCCAACCTCGATCAACCCACCAGATCCCGAACCAATCTGATCTCCTTCCCAATGGACCCAATCTTCCTCAGACGCACTAGTCGCGATCCCAATCAACCGCCCTGATCCCCCTCCCACCTCAACCAACTCACCAGTTCCCGAACCAATGTGATCTCCTCGCCAATCGACCCAATCTACCTCAACCTCCGTGACAATAGACGATACCCAACTGCAAGATGCTAGCTTTATTATGTTGTGCAATTAACCTTGATAACGCCCCCTACATATACTGTTTAAATCGCCATTGATTGTGTTGTTTATCATCGAGTCAGAGTATTCTAGAAGATCTGTTCTAGATTAGACAATGATAATGGCTATAATTCTAATTGTGGAAACAATGATTGTAGCCACCAGAATACATATGAAGGGAAACACTGTTAAACCCTCAAACAGGCGTATCGAGCTGGTGTAGGGAGGGGGCTGGGGGCTCAGGCTACCCTTCCCCTTTCGGTAAACCGTCCATTTTTCTTGCAATGTATTTCCGTTTTTAAAGGACCATATATCACGGAAATATAATTGTATAATTGTAAAATGAAATCGCTCCCGGTTTACGTTTTGAATACTGTAAATACTTAAGACTTCGCGCAATAATATTTGTGAAAAGCTCGGGCAACTAGACTCAGCCCCCCCCCCCCCCCGCCCCTCCCCCAACAACTCACATTGGCAACCTACGCTTATGGCCTAAACATCACACGAAATCTAGTCGCCACCACAGTTCCCGGATCGCTCGACTCATGTAGATCTGAATTATAGGTAACTGTGCATTTAACGCATCTTCAACATCATTCTAGTCGACAGCTGAGTACCGTGGATGGTTGTGAATCCGATAAATAACTAACCCAACCTTTGGCGTCTCTTTAAAACAGGTCTAGTCGACGATACATTTCCCTGACTCCAATCACTGAAATGAATTGGTAACTGGGCGTGTAACGTATCTTTAACACGACGATTCTAGTCAGCTTAGCCAATATGTTATTATTAAATGAGTCACAGATATTTAACATACCATATATGGATACAATAATTGATGCTGATATAAAATCGCTTCTATAAACAATGATCATTGAGAAGATAGACGACTGGATATATTTTTAATTCTAATTATTAGTACAGTTCCCCGATCGTTCTAATACAATCACCCTTCAACACAGCAGGCCCCCGCCCCGATCGTTCTACTACAATCTCCCTTCAACATGGCAGCCCCCCCCCCCCGATCGTTCTACAACAATCACCTTCAACATAGCAGCCCCCCATCCTTCTACTACAGTACAATCACCCTTCAACATAGCAGTCCCACCCCTCCTCTGATTGTTCTCCTGCAATCACCCTTCAACATAGCACCCCCCCCCCCCAATCGTTCGACATCCATATAGCTTTATGAATTAGTAACCATGCCATTATACATGTATCACGTGATTCTTGATTAACGCCGTTCCGGGTTCGAGCCATTGGGTTTATACAGACCTTCACGTGGTGACAAGTAAAACGTTGTCTAGGGACGAAAACAAACAAAAGTAGATCCACCTGTGTACAAATCGGCGTGCACGTGCGCGTAAATGACCCCTTAACAATTAGCGTGCACGTAAAGGATCCTTTGACAATTGGAAATTGATAGAAAGTAGGCGAGAACACCGCTGTTCGGGCAACATTCTCTCACTATAAGAAATAACCATAATATGTTTGTGTTAAAATTGGGTCGAAAAAACAGTAAATCTCCTCACATTCTATAACGTTTAAATTGAAATCAGTATATACTCTGTAGAAATATAAATAAAATCCCAGAGCTCCGATCACATAACATCCGCCTAATTCAAGATTTCATTTTGACCTCCATCCAAGAGATGACGTTCACTTTAACGTGTTGCTAACAACACGTATATTGATTCGTTTACTGGCAATCTGGCAGTTCCACTAATATCACGTGACGTATGTCAAAGGTCAGGAAATTGGCGGATTAATTCTAGAAATGGTTTGATGAATGGACGTCGGTATATATGTAAATGATTTGGTGTTCTCGTGTGTTTAATCATATAGATAAACTCTTAATTAAAGTTGTTGTGTGCGTGATTTCCACTTGTCAGTGATGCAGCACAGAGGGCCTGATAATGACAGCTGTCTAGTAGTTCGGATGGGGCGACAAACCGAGATCATTTGTATATATTAGCGTGCACGTAAAAGATCCCTTGGCAGTGGAAATTCGATATACGAGTACATCATAATGTCGCTTCCCGGGCTAAATTTTCCTCATAGCACACTGTATGACGCATACCCTTCTTCGTTAGCCCAGTCGGAGCAAAACAGTGGGACGTTAAACCCCATAGATAGATTCTGTCTTAAAGATGTACGTCCCCTGAGCGGGGTTGGATGGCCGAATGATTAGCACGTGCGCGCTGTATCATAAGGTCTGTGATTAAGTCAACTGGCGTGGTTTCGAATCCCCGGTTGTACGTAACAAGGAGTAGGGTCGCCTGTCCAACCTCGTAGGTTTTCACCGTGTCCTCCGGTTTCCTCACACTGCTAAAGACCCCTACGCACAATTATTGAAATAAAATTGAACCCTGTGTTAGTCCCGAAATTACCTAGTTTGTATCCAGTGGACGTTAAACCCCCATTGGTCAAATTTGGGAGCTATAAGAGATGTGACTTTCAAAAGTAAATTGTTAAAAACGAAATTTGAAATTTTAGGCAAACACGAAACAGTGTTATAACATAACGCATGCGGTGTTGACGAGACGTGCAACAACATATTATTAATTAAGGCTTTAGTGCCTGTAACATGAATGACATGGGGGTTTCTGAAGATGGTTGTATGCTATACGACGTGTTGAGAGCGAACTGACTCTTTTTTCGAATTCCAAATGTCAACGATCCTTTTACGTATACGCCAACCTGAACAGAGGATATTTTTTTCGTACCATCCGAAGGACTAGGCATCGTTCATTGTCAAGATCTCTGTCCTACATCACTGACAAGGGGGTACACGTTGGAAAACACATGACATCTTGCTTAGCGAGTCCCCTCTCTCTCTGTGGTTCTCTCTTTCTCTCGCCATTTATCTCCGACTCTCTCTCTCTCCTCCCGCCACCCCTCTCTCTCTCTCTCCCCTTCTCTCTCTCTCTCTCTCTCTCTCTCTCTATCTCTCTCTATCTCTCTCTGTCGTTTTCTCTTTCTCTCACCATTTATCTCCGACTCTCTCTTCTCCTCCCGCCACCTCTCCCTCTCTCTCTCTCTCTCTCTCTCTCTCTCTCTCACTCTCTCTCTCCCTCTCACTCTCTCTCTTTCTCCCTCTCTCTCTCTCTCCCTCTCTCTCTCACACTCTCTCTCTCCCTCTCTCTCTCTCTCTCTCTTTCTCACTCTCTCTCTCCGCTAATTTGTGTCCAGTGGAGTTTACTGACTCTCTCTATCCCTCTCTCTCTCTCGCACTCTCTCTCTCTCCCTCTCTCTCTCTCTCTCACTCTCTCTCTCTCGTTGTAATATAATATGGTTGTTTGATATTCAGATTATTAGCCT